ATCTGGCTAACAGGGTCGCAGTATTCTAGTGGCGGTGACCACACCTCGCAGAGTCTTAGAACTTTACGGCAGGGAATGAAGCAACTTTCATGCGAAGTAGATGACACGCTAAAAAGAAACTTTCGGATACCATGTATTCTGAGTTGCGTTGGCAGGACGTTGAAACAAACAGATGGAAAAAACAGTTTCACTCATCCTCATTTGAGTTCTTTGAGTTGAAACACTGGAGACCCTTGCGAAGGGGACTGGAGACCCTTCAGACCAAGCACTGGAGACCCTTAACAGGGCTTAAAACAAACGGATAAATCACTGAGATCTGTGCTTCGTGGGAGCAACATTTTTTTCGACAGTACAGAAAATGCTCTTTCTTCAACGGTTACTGTGTGCCGTATTGGCAACGCTGTTGTCGAACAGAACGCTACCGTTCGGCAACAGCTCTGAGCTCTGTTCTCGACATTTGTAAACCTGATCCTCCTTTACTATAGCCGAATACTGGAGTTTGAAAGTGATAGAAAAAAATCCATGGCTTTACTCGCAGTCTAAAAACTCATAATCTGTAGACCGTCTGAGCAGGACGTAAGGGGAACTTCAACAGAGAACCGAAAGTTCTGTTCTTAAACGATTAATTCCTTGTCTAAAGTTGGACTGATTCATTTGCATGATTTTTCGCTCTTCTCTCACGTACCCGTCTTTTGAAGCCGGACTATTACGAGTACACAAGAGAACGAAGCTAAAAGAGGCCGCATTAAAGAATAGTATTCTTTAGGGAAATAGAGCCTCTTCCTTACAAGGGGTTTCGGAGAGCACTAAAGACGAACAAGAAACCTCCTATTGTCGCTGGCGCGTGAAAGCGACTTGCATGAGGTCTTGGAACTTCTAATCCTCGAAGGATGAGGTAAACCAGAAGCTGCCGCACGTTCCCTCGGAAACCGTTCCCGATGTCACTTGCGACGAGATAAAGTCCTGGCATAGACGGCATGAAAGCAGAGCATCTGAAATCTTGCTCAAAGCTCTCGCCAAAGCCAAAGCAAATCAGGCTGAAAAAAAGGCCAAAAACATGGAAGAGCTCTTCGACTACTCTTTCATTCAAGTACGGTTATGCTAAAAGTCTCCAGAACAGTCTACCCATCACTCTCCTGTCATAAGTCTAGAAGTTGTTTACCAAATTGTCCTCAACCGTATCCGGAAAGACCTGGAAATACTCGTTAGTAAATAATAAGCCTGTTTTCGAACAGAGTTCCTCAGCACGTGCCACCTCCAAGTCATAAAACAATTAACATAAAAGTTCAAGGAATGAGAAATCCTATACGCATTCGTCGACCTCAGAAATTCATTCAATGAGGGCAACATTATATCCATTAATCGTTTTCAAACTTTATGGATACGTAATGAACGCAAATCGACACTCCTCCAATATCCTCTGCACTCCACCTTCTGCATACACTGCTGAGCAAGTAATTTGACTGTCAGATCACTCCAACGTGTTCCTAGGCCACTGAGTAGACCCTGGTGGACCAGTGGGACCCAGCTTTTAATCGCTGACGTTCATCGGCTTTCTCTCGTGCGAGCCACATAGCCGGCTATCATCTTAGCGTGACAGCAATCAGAAATCAACTCTGCAATCATCCAGCCCGTTGTCAATTTGTGAGCTCGAAATCTGTATTACCAGATGATTACAAGATTCATAAAAACCGTCAATTACTCCATGGTTATATATGGCGATGAAAATTATGTAAAACAC